GGCTCAGCTTGAAGAAATCGTTGCTGGTTTGCGAGCTAGTGGGGTTCGATTCCTGTGGATAGCGCGAGAAGAGAGTTTGAAGTTGAATGAGACTTGTGGGGATCTGGGTTTGGTATTGCCATGGTGCGACCAATTGAGAGTACTGTCGCATCCTGCGATAGGAGGGTTCTGGAGTCATTGTGGGTGGAATTCTACAAGAAAGGTGCCTTCGTCGGTGTTCCTTTTCTTGCTTTCCCTTTGATTATGGATCAGCCTCTGAACAGTAAGCTGATTGTGGAGGACTGGAAGATTGGATGGAAAGTGAAGAAGGGGGTTAAAGAAGACGTCTTGGTGACTAGAGACGAAGTTGCAGAGCTTTTGAAGAAGGTCATGGATTTAGGCAGTGAAGAAGGAAGAGAATTGAGGAAAAGAGCCAAACAGATTCAGCAGATATGTCAGCTTGCAATTGCAGATGGTGGCTCCTCTGAAACTAATATCAATATGTTTCTAAGGGATTTGTTGCGAAGTGGTAAGCCATGAAGGCGAACCCGAATAACAATGGTAATTCCTTTGGATAATTTGGTGAAATGGTTCGAAGGTTTGTACTATCAATCAGTTAGTGATCCCATGGCCAGTTTTGAAGCTCTGATCTTCCAAGCTCACGTCCTTAACTTGAGGAGTGGGGAATTAATTGTGTTCCGCTTCACATGCGCTGAATAAGCTTTTGTACTGCTTAAAGTTTATTTTATGCCTTCTTTTTATAGTTTATTTTATGCCTCCTTTTAATGTGTACCAATTTAATTTACAGCCATATAAAAGCGATAGATTGTGTTCGCCTGCGATTTCAATTTTGTTTAAATCAGGTTGATAAAATTTTGCAGTCAAATAAATATAACATTTTATATGTATGCACAGATTATATTTATGAACCCGTAGGTATGCCGTAATATGTTTATTTTTTATGAAATGTTTTACAGTTAATAATTTAAATTTTGCAAATAAATTTTTAAAAAATATTTTAATCACTAAATTAGTTAATTTTTATTTAACTTTTGGGGTGAAGAGATGGGGAAAGGCTTGGAGACACTAGCAGGATGCAGGAATCTCACCAAATCACAATCATATCTAATATCCATCTTCATAGAGTGACTTACCCACTAATAACCAATCACCGTCGTCTCTTTGGACCATACCCGGCACAACCCGCCAGCCTGGACTAGTCCTTCAGTTTTCACAGTTCCCAACCCCATCAAAGTTTATGACTTGGAAAAAAGTAAGTAGTATTTTCATAAGATGGTAAGAATTTTGCATCCACTTCAGGCACAATCGCTGAACCGCTAAATTTTTTTTAGTTTTATATTTGTTCAAAGTTGACGATATTTGGATGGCATATTTGATTTTCTTAAAAATACGTATTTTAATTTTTAAGCATCAAATATGCGTATGGGTGTAAAACTATAATTCGAGCGTGGATGGGGTATATGCACACAAAAGATCCCAAATGCTCGGCTGAGGAGTAGTTTCGATTTTACGGACTTTGTTTGCCATCTAAAAGGTCGCTCCTTTTTCTCTATGCCTTCGAAATAATGGAACCAAGCCTCTCCCATGGCTTCCTTCTGTCTAAACTCCGTACCACTTCCCCCACCTTCTCACCCTCGCAAACTCACTGAAACTTCTTCCTCCTCCTCGTCTTCTTTACTTCTTGATGGCCAGAATTATACCCCAGCAGGGGCCTTGAAACCCATAGTTGCCAGAGGGAATCCCCCGACTTTTGTATCTGCTCCTGGTCGCCGAATTGTGGCCGGTTTGTTCTCACTTTTCTTGTTTCTACTATTTTGCTTTCGTGATCAATAAGCAATATGCTTGGCAATGCTCGAGTCATGTTCTTTTACTCGTTTCGTTTGGTTTCTTCGTTGAATCATGTCTTGCCTCGCGGTCTTCCAAGTGGGTCCTGGTCATCCTTTGTTGTCTTGATTCCCGTTCCAGCTGAGTCTGATAAAAAATATGCATATCAGTATGAATCTGTCTTTTGTTTAGTATGGGGTCAATATCTCCCTGATTGTTCAGCTGTGGCGTGCATTGTGTAAATCCGGTACTTATGTTACTTTGGAAAAGCCTTATATGAGTATTATCCCTTTCTATTTTCGCTTATCATAGTCAGTGTCAGAGATCTTATTATGCTTCAAGTAATATTAATTTGCATATTCCAATTTTGGCACATTCTTCCCCGTGATGGAATATGGCCCAATGGCATTATACTTTATTAGTATGTTGGTAAACTCACCTGAAAAATAACTATGATCAAAGTAGAGTTTGATTTACTGATGTTTCCTTGGCGTCTTAAAAGTGAATGTCTGTCTTAGCTTCGACTTCTTTGTTTCCTATCTTCTTATTGTAGTTTCAAGCACATCGCTCTGTAGCCTTAGATGTTTGAGCTGATTTTTGTACCCAAAATGTGTAACTATTTATTTGTTTGATATTTCATTGCCTTAGATTTTGAAATTTTAATTAGGTTTTCCAGCTCCATGTGATGGAGAACTTTCTTGAATATATTTAGTTCATTGCTATGATGATGGTCTTCAAGCGTGTCCTTTTCTGATAATCTGACCTACTTTTGATCTTGGTCACATTTCATTTGTGTTTGATATGTCTTATTGAGGTTTGTTTTCCTTGATAGTTGGAGATCTACATGGAGATCTCGGGCAAACTAGAACTGCACTTGAGATGGCTGGTGTATTGAGCTCTGACGGCCAAGACTTGTGGACTGGTGGAGAAACTGTATGCTTCCTTTGTTTTTCAAAATGCACATGTCGAAGTTTTGGTTAGAATAAACAACGATATTGTTGAAACAAGGCCAAGTGTTTTTTTGGCCCCTAAAGGCCAAATCAATTTAATTGTGCTGTGAACCATGTACACATGGCAGCAAGGAACATCATTGTCCTCGATTCTGTATGCTTGAGGAAAAACTATCAACTGATTAGCACTGTACTTGAGTTTAACAGACGGCAATTTCTCTTTTCACTTCACTAGGTGTTGGTTCAACTTGGAGATGTGCTAGACCGAGGTGAGGATGAAATTGCCATCTTGTCTTTGCTACGATCATTGGACAAACAAGCAAAAGCAAAAGGTGGAGCTGTCTTTCAGGTTTGTTGTGTTTCAGATTCATTGAAAAATGCATACCGGGTGTTTATGGATTAAAAGAATTTGGATTATTTTTCTTTTCTGTTATATATCTTTGTTTATGCGATTTTCCATTGATTAATCTTCTTCATTTAGGTAATGGCAACCATGAGACTATGAATGTGGAAGGGGATTTCAGATATGTTGAATCTGGGGGATTTGATGAGTGCAGTGATTTTCTGGAATACATGACTGATTCAGACAATGACTGGGAAGAGACCTTTGCTGGTTGGGTAGATGTCTCTGAAAGTTGGAAAGTAGATCAGAGGATGTCAAGGAACTCTTGGGGTCCCTGGAATCTAGTGAAGGTATATAGTGTTCTATTTTGTTTTTCAGTTATTGAGACATGCAAATGGGGAGGACCTAGCCTCACACCATGCCCACTGAAGAACGAGAACTTGAATTTCACATTATCTATTTCATTTGATGAATTCGTTTTTCATACAGATATCCTGTACTAAACCAGATCATCGTAACTTTCTTCAATGGACTAATCTAATTTTAACTCATTGCAAATAGGGAAAATTACCCATAGGTCTTGGGGAAAAAAATTAAATACAGGGAAGTCCAAAAAATTCATATTTACAAGTCAAACTTGCACACTTACTAGTCAAATTTAACAATTCATGTTTACAAGTCAGACTTGTAAAAACAAAAAAAATTGAATTTCTTGGGACCTCTCTGTATTTAATTTTCTTACCTGGGACTATGAGTAATTTTCACTTGAAAATATACTCCTGAGTAAGGGGCAATGGAGAGAAAAGTTAGTGAACTCTGAGAAATACGCTTAGCACCATTTAGACATCATTTGTTACTTCTTAAAGTGACACATAATAGTTACTATTGGAATAGGAGCACTACTATATTTTCTTCAAATGTGATATTTTGTTGTCGATTTCTGATAAAGTTTTCAAACAATTAGGACAGAGGCAGAAAGGAATCATTGCCAGATCAATCCTTTTTAGGCCTGGTGGCTCATTAGCGTGCGAGTTAGCAAGGCATCCTGTTGTACTCAAGGTCAATGACTGGGTCTTCTGTCATGGTGGCCTTCTTCCTCACCACGGTAAAAATTCTTCTAACGTTCGAATTTGACTTATCCTGGTCCTAAGTCTATGCTATCAACTGTTTTGTCATGGTTTCTAGCACTGTTTCAAGTAAACAAAACCTCTCTCCTTTGAATTTGAAATACTTGATAATTTGTCTTTGTAATTTTCTTCTCCCCTCACTTGTCTGTAGTTGACTATGGAGTGGAGAACATGAATAAAGAAGTGTCCGACTGGATGAGAGGTCTGAGTGAGAACGATGGTGATCCCAAAGTCCCTTTCATAGCCACTAGAGGCTACGACAGCGTTGTTTGGAATCGTTTGTATTCAAGAGATACAATGGACTTGGTGGACTATAAGACGAAGCAGGCAAGTACTCTGATGTGCTAGTTTTAATTTGCAGCAAATAAATATAATCTCCTAAGTAGTGGGATTAGTAGAAAGTAGAAACACATTATTTTTCCCATCAAACTCTAGTTTTATGATCAGTGCGAGGATGCTTATTCTTTCTCCACTGCTTTTGTCTTCATTTTGCAGTGAAAGTTTCTCATATTTATTTGTTTGAGTTACATGTGCACATGATGGATCCATTATCCATTGTCTCCTCCAATGCATGCTTGTAAGGGGCCACAGAGGCTTCATGAAATTCGTAGGGTTCCAAAGACTTCGGAATTTGACACTGAACATTATGATTTTCAGGTATATTCCATTCTTGAAGAGACACTACAAGCAGTTGATGCTAGGGCCATGGTTGTTGGGCATACTCCTCAACCCATGGGTGTAAATTGGTAAGGAAATAATATAACTCTTGACCTTGTTCAAGATAGCCTCAAGTAATGGAGATCTTGGGTTGAGTTATAATTTGGTATCAAACTTGATATGTAACTAGATGGCTGTCTAAGTATTGCGCTTCAGAATATTTTGATGCCCTGAACTCAAGTCTTTTCTTTCTGCAGTAAATACAATTGTAGCATATGGCGTGTGGATGTTGGAATGTCCGGCGGAGTTCTTAATTCGAGACCAGAGGTATAAATAAGCCATGGGCCAGTAAATAGAACGATGTTTCTTCGTTATGAGCCTCTTAAAGTATTCACCTGGGTGACAAAATGATGCTAAGCACCGTATTGTTATTTATTTAATATTATATTACCTCTAGTCCTAAATATAAGAGTTAGTTGACTAATTTGAGTAGATTAAAGAAATAAGTTAAGTTAGTTATTTGTAATAAATAAATATTGTCTTTCTTAAAATATCCTTTCCAATCAAATTTATTAGTTAACACTATTATTATTAAAAGGACTATCTTAGAAAAAACAAATAGATAAATATAAGAGACAAAGTGGATTGGAGTCTTATATTTAAGACCAAAATAAAAGTCAGATAAGGTTTTATATTAAGGATCGGGGGTAATATTTGATAAATGCAACCATGCACATTTCATGCAAGGCAAGCATTGAATCCTTTATGGGAAGTGATTCCCTTTAATGCATGTGTACTATCTAAATCTGATTAATCATGTCACATGCTTTCGAGCCATAGTGATATCTTTTTGTGCCTATTTCTCTCAGTTCTCTGTTGAGTTAGTATAATGGTTCATGGGATTCATGCACGAATTTGTTTTTCCCAGGTTCTGGAAATTAGAGGCAATGAAGCAAGAGTTATTAGGAGCAAAAGGGACACATACAGCGAACTTCAGGTTGTTGAATATATTTAGAGACAAATAATTATCGACCAGGTAGATTGAATTTCAACCGGTTTGCCTATTGTTTGTTCTGTCGTAGTATCAATTGGGAATATGAGAAGTAACGCTGCTACAATATCTTCTTCTACCTTAAGGACAACGTAATCCCAGTCCTCATGTTGCTCCTAAGCCGTTTGTCTGGCAGTCTTTAGCATTCTCAAAGTGGAACTTGTCCGAGCATGTACTGGTCACACACTAATGCTAATAATACATATGTACATGCAACTTGCTGGAGCGTTCTAATGCAGATGCATTTCAACTTGCCAATAACAGTAATGGTCATGATGGTGGTGGTGGTGATATCTTGCTCATCCACACAATATTGCTGCAACCATGATTCCTTATTTCTTAACTGTGCATCTGCAGGAAGGAAAGGCCTCCAGCTAGGTCCAATCCAATAATGTCAAATTTACCATCCGTTGATTTGCCAAGTCACAGTCATTCGTTGCTTCTCTGGAACTCGTGATGACTGGCACAGCGCACCAATTTTGGCAATTCAATGGGTTTTTGTATGTATCGTTCTCTGGTGTTTCCAATCTTTTTAATACCAAAAAGGGTTCAAACCATTGATCTGTACTCGTATATATTTTTTCCCCTAGTTTTCTGGTTGAATTTTAGCATTTGTATGCTAAAATTACTGGCCATAAGTGAGCTCATGATAACTGTAATCTCTTCTAATGCACCACGATGAACTGAAAAATTAGTTATGCGATCTCAAAGTGCTTATTCTGTTATGGCCTATCAAGATCGTAATTACGGTTGATCTGCATTATGCGCACGCATAAACACATGAGAAATACGAGTAATACCAACTCCGACACTTGATATAAAAGTTAGATAAGTGATTTAGAGTGAATAAAAAAATTAATGAAATTGGTTATTTATAATAAATATGTGTTTAAACTATTTACTTTCATCATGTGCATTGGACAGTTGACTCTTGATGGGAATCTTTACAATAGAGAGATATTGTGGACAAACAAGAATCTGTGCAGTTGGTAAAAAATCAGCTTATAACTTATAAGGTTTTAAGTTTGAATCTCACTGTCAATATAAGAATCTTGTTAATGAGCTGTTTGTAAGTATTTCTGTAAGTGTTATCTAAGACTAAAAGTATGTCTTGGTTCGGGAGCACATTCCATGCATGGTCTCATCGCAATTTGAACCATCAAAATCGATTTAGAGCATGGTCTCATCGCAATTTGAACCATCAAAATCGATTTAGATGGTTTATATTGAATTTAAATTTTTTTATATATTTTAATCAACATTTTATTTTTATAGATACAGATTTTAAAAAAAATAATATCATAACTAACATATCCTTAAAAAAAATAAATTTATCATTGAAAGATTGTATATTAAAAATTTTAAATCTAAATCATCCATATTAGATTTTGAATAGTTTGGATTGTATTATAGTGATAAGCATATGATGCTCATCATTATGATGAGCACTGAATGAAAACCCGCCTTGGCCCTGGTGAGTCCAACTCATTTAAACTTTTTGCTATAAAAAAAATAAGGATATTTTGTGAAGAAAAAATTATAAATTTAGGAGACAAAGTAGATTAAAATATTATATTTAACAATAAATTAAATCTTCTAACTAATTTTTATATTGAGAATAAAAGGTTGTATCATTTTTTTTAAAATAAAAGGCCTCGAAAAGGTGCAAAATTAGATAGTTAGAAGCAATGGAAAGGATCTACACGTTTTTTTCAATTTAAGGAAAAAAAAAAGATCTACGTGTCATGGATGGAATGTCCCTGCAAACAACTTCAATATTTAGGAGATAACTGCTGTGAGCCAGTGAATACGCATATTAGTTAGCTTTTCTTTTTCTTTCTTTTTTTTAATGATGTTGGCGTTTCTTGACATGTAGTCAAAAGTGACTATTGAATCTTACATTCCAACCTAAAATTGTATTCTCGTAATTCAGTTTGATCAATTATCGTAGAGCTTGCTTAAATCCTCGACAAAGTTTTTTGTATTCTTATCCGTCGTATTATCAATTCATAACGTCATTCTCACGAGAAAAAAAGCCATCACAGTTACATGAATAAATTTTAAAAATGCACTTCCAGTAAAATTATAATAAAAAAATGGTTTTTAGAACGCAATGTCGCGTGATTAAATTTTCTTAGAAAAATCACATATGATGAACATCCTTGTTAAAGAAAATTAAAAACCTGTAATTAGTTGTACAATCATAAACACACGAAATTCCTTATAATTCACCAAGATGCTTGTTGTTTCCATGCCGAAATCTAACTTTCCACTTACTTAGGATTATGAGTTGCGAATAAGGAGGATTGATGCACATCTGATAAGTATATATATAGTGACAATAATCAGGATCACTGATTTATCAAGCCCGATGGTAGTTGGCCGGTTTCTTCGGTTTCGTGGACATCTCTAACGACTACCTTTGTAAGCTCCGCCTCGGCTAGAACCCCTTCTTCAACCTCACTCCTATTCTCTCTATATAACTCCCACCCAGACATCTAATGGTCTAATGCACACTCTGCTTCCCCATTCCCTTATTCTTCGATACCCTTCTCACCCTCCATCACTCTCCACCATGACTTCTTCCCTCACTCTTCCCTCAATTTCCCTCAAGAAGCTCCACTCCCCTCCCACTCGCTCCCAACCTTCACTCCCCGCCAATTCCCTCTCCTTCCGAAATGGGGTTTCAAGTTTTAGTCTTAAACACTCGGATCGATCTAGGGTTTTCATGAGCGTATCGGTCGGATCTCAGGCGACTGTCGACGATGCTTTGTTCTCTGACTACAAGCCTAGTACCGCTTTTCTGTTCCCTGGCCAGGTACAGTTCACACAACTCTTGGTCGCTGGATTTATCAAAATTGAGGAATGTCATTGTTGAAAATGTTGGGATTTTACTTTTGGAAGAGAAAAGTTGTGAACTTGTGTGTTTATTCTGGGAAATCTGCACTTCTATGTTCTTGCTTTGTCTGTCTATATCTGGGCGAAATTCGCATTCGAAAGGTCTACCAACCAAGGAAGTTAAAAAAAAGGGGTAAATCAGTATGTAGCCATATACTTTTCAGTAGCCGGTTTAAATGAATTTGGAGCTCGGTTTTGGACACAGCTGAAACTAAGAGGTAGTGTTTTATGTTATGACGAGAAGTTCATCCATTACTGGGCATATCATTAGAATTCTATGGGGTAATTCAGGTTAGCGAATCGCCCCACCTAGCAATCGCAATCATTTTTTTTTAAAATATTCAAATGAATAACATGTGTAACAGAGATGACAGCGTATTTGATTCATTGACATCTATTAAAATTGTTCTGTATGTGAAATGTAAGAAGTACTATTGACTGAAGGCTAAATACTGCCTTATGCTATTTGCACAGTTATACTAATTAAAGGAAATCTACTTTTGATGTCCATGCAGGGTGCACAAGCAGTTGGAATGGGAAAAGAAGCTCAAAATGTGCCTGTTGCTGCATCACTGTACAAGAAAGCAAATGACATATTAGGGTAGTTATACACAAAAGTTTGTCAAGTTGATGTTTTGGTCTCTATTGTAAGTACAATAACATATCTTTTGAATTCAGGTTTGATCTTCTCGATATCTGTATCAATGGACCAAAAGAAAAGTTAGATTCTACAGTTATCAGCCAGGTATTCTGCCTCTGCTTTTTAAGAAGGATTTTATCATGTATGTCTCTAGGCCATATGTGCTGTGCTTTTAGAAGTTTCATTGTTCCACCCAATTAAAAGTAGCTTATGTGATGGTAATTCAAAATGGGACATTTCAGAGTCTTCTATTGTTTGCTTTGAGAAGGGATTGGGGGATGGAAGTGATCTAAACGTTAATCGAAACTACTGATGCTTGTCTATCATTATGTTAATATGAATACGCCAACTTGTTCTGAATGCCGTGATGGTTGGTTATAATGATTATTTCAAATTTCAATAACTAAACATTTACCATCTGATTTTCTACTTTCTCAGCCGGCTATTTATGTCACAAGTCTAGCTGCAGTGGAGCTACTACGTACACGTGATGGAGGCCAGCAGATTATTGACTCAGTTGATGTTGCATGTGGTTTAAGCCTTGGAGAATATACTGCTCTGGCATTTGGTGGAGCCTTTAGGTGAGGTTTCCAAATTAAGTACTTTCCTTAATACAATCTCATCCATCATAAAAGCTGTACGATATGAAAGAAACAAGTATGACCTCTGTAAGCCCTTCTTTTCGGCAACGCCACTTGTGTGATGAAATTGATGGTCCTATTTATTTTGATTTTCAGAGTTTTGTTATTTGAAAAGACTCGGTAGATGCATGAGTATGTTATCCCAACTATGAGATACTTCTGAACGTCAATATTGTTGAAGAAGGATGAAGAATTACCTTCTGGTCCTTATCTGTGTGATTTACTGATATGCATTGTGTGATTGATATGTCTTTTAACTGATTATGTTTGAAATCTTTTGAGATGGTCAGCATTTCTTTAACGCGCTGTTGACTCCAATGTTGTGTTTCATTTGTAAGCTTTGAAGATGGGCTCAAGCTGGTCAAATTGAGGGGTGAAGCCATGCAGGTGAGCAGCCTCTGCCTCTTGTTTAAGACATTATCTGACTCGCATGAATTTGTGTGTAATTCATTGTTTCCGTGCTTAATATTTTCCCTTCATACAGGAAGCTGCTGATGCTGCTAAAGGGGCCATGGTTAGTGTGGTAGGACTGGATTCGGAGAAGGTTCAGCAATTGTGTGATGCAGCTAATCAGGAAGTTCCTGAAGCTGAGAGGGTTCAAATTGCAAACTACCTATGCACTGTAAGTTTAAGACGTATCCTCCTCCTTAATTTAATTATTTATGGTGTTAAGATTTATGATGAGTACCTAACATATATTGACTGATTTTTATGCTGGTAGGGAAACTATGCTGTCTCTGGTGGCATAAAAGGAATAGAAACAGTGGAGGCAAAGGCAAAGTCTTTCAAAGCTCGAATGACAGTATGAATTTTGTCCCTTATCTGCCTTGTCTTGCGCTAATTACTCTCTCGGAAGTAACACCACTTCCTTACTTTGGCAGGTGCGTCTTGCTGTTGCTGGTGCTTTTCACACTGGTTTCATGGAACCAGCTGTGTCAAGATTGGAAGCAGCATTGGCAGCTACAGAGATTAGAACCCCAAGAATTCCAGTCATCTCCAATGTTGATGCACAGCCACATGCGGATCCTGACACGATAAAGAAGATATTGGCACGCCAGGTAACACTTCTATCAATATCCTGTGCCTGTCGGTCGTGAACTGGAAAATGGAAATAAGTGCACCCTGAATTCATTTCGCAGGTTACTTCCCCTGTTCAGTGGGAAACAACAGTGAAGACTCTTCTAACCAAGGGGCTGAAGAAAAGTTATGAATTGGGACCGGGAAAGGTAAGAAACTTTGGTAGCAAGTACTAGCATGATAATGTATCGCAGGCTGAGCACCTGGATTTAGCATTCTCTGTCCGAATCTCGTATTATTCACGGCTTCATTTTTCCTGCTAACTTGTAGGTTATTGCTGGGATTATCAAGAGACTGGATAAAGGTGCTGACATTGAAAATATTGGCGCTTGAGAAGACAGTGAGGTCTTGCTTCTCTTTCAGTGGCTTGCAAGGACACATGGTTAAACGTGAATTAATTTTTTTCACGGGATCATCAGCTTGTGCTAAATCCAGTAAACATGGGAGAAAGTTTCCTCGAGGGCAGAGACCAAAGATTAGTTATAACTTGTCAGTTAGACGTCAATTTTGTAACCAAAATTTCATTCTCGGATTGGCAGCAACATGCTTCTCTCTTTGTTCCAAACATAAGTTATTGCACTTGTGGCGGGAATAATTCTAGCTTATATCATCTTATAATACCCCTAATACCTTCTGTTAAAATATTTCAAGGAATGTACTGACGAGTCATGTGTTTGAAATTCGCCGAGCTTTGCGATTCCTATCACTTAACTCCCCCCCCCCCCCTTCCTTCCCTTTTGTGAACTGAAACAAACGCACAACTATAGGACATTATCACAGATACCATACATTATGTATAATTGTTAAGCTTTAACTCCTTCCTCTGCCGTTGTGATCGTATGGCGAATGTCCCAGGCATGCAATCTGTAGAAGATAACCTCTCCTGTAATGACGAATCACAATCTCGTAATGCATTTTCCCCAACAAGAAGATCTGCGTCTAATGATCACACGTCATGTTGAAGGACCAAGTGAAGGACTTCTCTTGTTACAACTTGCAAGCAAAAGAAAGCATGCTGCATGCTTCAATCTTCATCTCGATTTCTCATATATTTCCCTAAATTCAAAGAACCGTGTGCAAACCAAAATATGCTACTTATTCAGCTTTAATTTGACCAAAGCAAAATATCAAGGAGATATGAACCATTTGCAACTTTTTCAACTCTACATGCAATCAAAGGCAAATTTAAAACGAGATAAGAAAAGAAAGAAATCTAAATAGTGCAGATTCTTCCGAACAAACCAGTGAATTCGTACAAACAAATGAAAATTCAGAGCAGAAATCAATGGAGAATTTTATGATTAACCATAATCAGTTGTTCAGTTCTGTAGCGGGGTTAGGGAATTGCCTCAATCTGCGAAGCTGATCAATCCAGCGATCCTCGGGAACATGAGCAGCCCAATCAGGAACGATTCCACCAAACGAGACACCACGCATCGCCTCCCTCACTCTTGTGGCGTTCTCCACCGACAACGGCGCATTCCTTCGGTTTTCATCCTCTCTGAATGCCATCCGAATCGCCCGCTCCGACGCCTCTCTCATCCTTTCCTCTTCCTCATCCTCGCCGTTCATTTGCTCCACGCCCACGTCGTCGTTTAGAACCAGAGATGACATCCCATTCTCCGTTCCATACGAGCAGTAGCCGTTCGGAAGCTGGTGGAAATGATAGCTGTGTTCTTCGTCCGAGTTGACGTCACTGCCGCCCCTACCTTCGTCTTCGCCGACGTTGGAGATCGGCTGGTAGTATTCCGGCACTTCATCGCGACTTGCGTCCGCATCGCTGTCACTAGCGTCGCCTAAATGAAAAAATCTGACTAAATACACAAACAATCGAAGATCCAGAGAGCTCCGATTACAAGAAAGCGAAAACGAGGATAAGGAAATCGTACTTTGGTTAAAATCGGTCGAAGAAATGGAGCTAGCATTCATTGTTGTTGAGCGAACGGATGCAAACTTCGGACAGGGAAAAATTCTAAACAGTAAATTCACGCCAGATCATAATCGAAGGATCTTGGATTTTTTTTTGACCGAAGAAGGATCTACGATAAGTTCTGCAATTTTCGACAATTAAAAATAATAAAAAACTTTTTATGACAATACTAGTATGACATTGAAACCAAAAAACAACTGCACCAGCCGGGAATCGAACCCGGGTCTGTACCGTGGCAGGGTACTATTCTACCACTAGACCACTGGTGCTTGTTGACGAGGTGAGGCAACAAATATTTATATGCTCATATCCTTCCGTGAGACTTTCATCTCCGCCACAAAAATCGATAGACGTTGATTTTCAAGCTAAGCTAGACAGCTGGGGGGTGATGGTGAGCAAGGTGTGAAGCGGGAAAATGGCAATTCCCATATTCAGGGCCTCAATTTCTCAGTCTCAGATTCAACCATCCATTCATTACTTTTCTGCTACCCGTTCACGCGTAGATGAAACTAACAAGAAGAGGAAGATGGTCCTTTCTTGTTCTCCCTCCCAATTCCGTCCAACTCGGTAAATGAGAATCCGTTTTTAGGTTGTCCCCCAGGAGTATGATTTTACTAGAGAATTGATTCCTATTCCTGAAATTATAGGTCAGAGGTGTCATTTTCTGTTGGGACATACCTCATTCCGCATCCAAAGAAGGTAGTGAATACTAGCATGCCTCTTTCCTCCATAATTCTGATTAATGTTGGTCTCGTGCCTGTACTGGATGTCCTTAAGCGCCTAAATTTATCTATTCTGATTTCTGGAACTTATGCCATCTGCTCAAGCCATCGTCTTTCTAACTTTTAAGGTTGACAGAGGCGGGGAAGATGCTTTCCTTGTAAGCAGCTATGAGGGGGGAGTAATTGCTGTTGCTGATGGCGTCTCTGGGTATGATACTTGAATATTCCAAGTTTCTTCTATTCAATTGAAATCATTCATCGTTAAACTTAGGAAAGCCGAAATAGTGTCTCAAACTTTGATAAAACCGGGAAAGATATCGGTTGCATTCGGGAGAAATTATATCTTACATCGAATTGCTGAATTATCTTAATATGGATTGATATCTATTTCATTTGCTTGTAATGCATTGGAATTTATTTTCTTTATGGTAATGTCAGTTAATCCTTTTGGTTCAGTCAGAAAATAATAGTACTTTCCTATTATGTTTACAGTTGGGCTGAAGAGGACGTGGATCCTTCACTATTCCCCCGTGAATTGCTGGCTAATGCTTCCAGTTTTGTGGGGGATGAGGAGGTTGTATAACCCGGATGCATAAATTGATCATCATAGTTATTATATTGGTTTCCTAGTAAACTTGTGCATTCAAAAAGGAGAGAAAATTAATTGTTATATCTTAGTAAGGTAAATCTTATGCATGTAGTGCAATTAATTAAAAATATGTCACTTATTGATGGAACCATCAGGTGAACTATGATCCTCAGAATCTCATAAGAAAAGCACATGCTGCAACTTCCTTTATAGGATCAGCTACTGTGTAAGCTTTTCCTCCTTTGGTAAAAGTGGCAGTTTAAAATTTTAAAATGAACTCGCATTTTCAATGATCTCACCATATACCTCATCTATGTGTTCTCTGAGAAGCATTGTTGCTATGCTGGAGAAGAATGGGACTCTGAAGATTGCCAATGTCGGCGATTGTGGATTAAGAGTTATTCGCTGTGGTAAGATCCAGAGCTAAGCTATATTTGCCATTTGCTAATCCTGATATCTTCATTGTCTTCTGCAATTTGCACTGCTTTATCTTCCCTTTCCCCTTATCCTCCTCCGCTCTTTGATGTTGATAACATTTTTAATGTGCTTGTCCCAGGTGACGTAGTCTTTGCCACCTCTCCTCAAGAACATTACTTTGACTGTCCATTTCAATTGAGCTCTCAAAAGGCTGGCCAGACATACCTTGATGCAGTGGTAGAGACATTGCCACTCTCAAATGTCAATGAAAATGTTCTTTTTTTTTTTTTCACGGCAGAGACAATTTGGTTTTATTTATTGTTTACTACACTGATGCATCAGGTGAGCAAGGTAGAGCTGATGGAAAGGGATACAATTATCATGGGATCCGATGGGCTTTTTGATAATGTTTTTGACCATGAAATGGTCTCAATTATTGCTAGTTACACTGATGTTTCTGAAGCTGGTAGTGTCTTCCCTCGTTGATTAGATAGACATCTTGACCACTTGGACTTTTGCTGACTAAAAACTGATTTTGTTGCTAGCAAAGGCATTAGCTAACTTGGCAAGCAATCATGCGAAGGATTCGAATTTTGATTCTCCCTATTCAATAGAGGCCAGATCCAGGGTAAGAAAAGAACTTCATGTTTATTTTGGGCTCCATATGTGCCATACGAAAACAACTTGATCATAGGAAAGGGGCCTTCAAAAAATTTGTTCGATAAAGGATATTGATATTGTCCTGGAGGAGATTTTCAATTGAAAGGAACATCGAAAATGATAATTCTGTGGTAACCTTTCTATGTTGTGGAAGGCGACTTTCTCATTCTTGAAAGAGAAGCACTTACCACCAAAAAATGCAGAATACGTTTTCCCATGTGCTGTGTATTCTTAAACGTATGGACCAGCCATAAAATTTTCTTTGACGAACTGTTTTCTTGTCTTGCTAATAATAACCACTTGGCAGGGAATTGAAGTTCCCTTTTGGAAGAAGATTCTTGGAATGAAGCTTATAGGTATGGTATAATAGCTATAATAATATTACTAGTGCAAGCAGACAACCCCCCCCCCCAAAAGAACAGTGCAAGCAGAAAAAGTTTTCCCTACATTGAGCTGACCGCATCATTTTACTGCAACAGGCGGAAAGCTAGATGATATCACTGTGATTGTTGGGCAGGTTGTGAGTTCATGAGATTTTCTGATCTCCCCCGGGGATCATTTCACTGCACAGCTCAGTGTGGATCAGACAAGCACGAGAATGACATGGATCGTTCCTCCTACAACGGTTTTAGATGTCCTCCAGGAGGACGCGGAGCAGCTGCTCTCACGGGAGCACAGATTTTTCCTTTTTCTTTTTCTTTTTTGGTTAAGTCTAAAGTAGAAGAGACCTTGGAAGACCTGAATTGTTGAGACCTTGCGCATGAACACTTGAATTTCTTGGAGCTCTGAATAATAAGAATTTATTTAAGGACATGCTCACACTTTGGCAACAATGAGTTATTCCCCATGCATTGTACACGTATTATGAAGTGACAAAAACCTAGACATGAAAAGTGACAAAAAGCAATAAAAATTATATGATGATATTACAAAAATTTATAGATCGTGTAAAGTTAAATAGAATAGAATCTATCCTCAAAAATCTGATGCTTGCCGCACAAGCAAACAAATGACGAATATTACAAGATATTCCTCTCAAAGGCAGTTGCTGAACAATGAAAAATCTACTTCAGCTGCTTTATTTAGTTGACAGTATCACTTCACTTGTCTTTGATTGAACTCTTGGAAAAAGCCCTTTCCAGCTTCATATGTGGACCAGCAGATTGCAGCGGCAGGAGCATGGAATAGCATCCTAGGAATCCATCCTCGCATGAGCCCCCTGTACCCATCCTTTTTCACTATAGTTTTAATAACATCCCCGATTGAACCACTCTTGAATCTATCACAGCCGCAAACACCCTGCATCATTGATGGCCGAGTTTAGGTCAACATACGCCCACCAAGAGTAAAAAGGACAAGGACTTGGAAAAATAGGTAAGACAACGGCCTCTTTAATCTAGTTTCATTTACTACTATCTTTATAACCGGAGTACCAAATATTTATAACAAAAAAGTTGCAGCACGATCAAATTCATGAAAGAATTAGTTGAGGAATCATGACATAATTGTATAAACCCAATCTCATTCTGAACCCTTTTCTGTATGGCCCCTAATAAACATTCGAATCCCCCTCAAGGAAGAGGGGAGATGACACGAAAATAGCTTAGAGCTCTTATCAGCCCCTGTATTTGCAGGAATTTCCATAGAAAAGAGATAACATCATCAGCTTCATTTCGATTCAGCAATCAGCATCATTTCCCCTTCAACTAAAGAATTGGTTCGTCAGCTTGATTTTCAGTTTCTTGTTCATTAGCACTTCTTACAACTGCAAAGAGGGCATGCTATAACCTAGGTGTGTTGAATAGAATCATAAAGAAACTATGATACGGCAGCAAGCTTTTTGTTGGTAGAACCAACATTACCAAAATATAAGGTAACAAGATGTTCCCTTCTCAAATCCAATCCGGGTAACCCACATATTCACTGATTATAATGTAAGATAACATGACCTGTTAGATAGAATTATATACAACCTTGCCTACTCTCTCTCACTCACTCACACAATTAGTAGCAAATTTTATCTGAAGTAGAACCTTATTAAAGGAGTCTAAAGTTATAATGTATGTACAAGAGTACAAGACTACAATAGTTATTCCTTAGAGCATGGGAGACTACAATATCTGGAACCGACTTCAGAAATATGTTCCATAGTTTGAGTCTCAAGTCATAGAATCCCCCATGCGTTGATTGCAAAAACATTCTCAAGTTTGATAAAATACTCCATTTTCTTCTTTTTCTCCCCTCTAGGCACAAATTCTAGATTGAGCTTTCAAATCTTGAGCATAAGCCAACACAAACTTAGGTTGACAAAGGCAAGTAACAAGTCCAATCAAGCAAAACAGAATATTTTAGGAACAAATATAAAGCATGAGGGTTAAGAGAAATTTATACCTGGCACTGCAACTGAGTTTTGACCACATCAAGCGGTGTGGTAACAGCGGCAGCCAATGCACCAGCTGCAGCTCCAGCAGTTGCGTGAACAACGAAACGTTCATCATCAGCACTCTGAGGCGAAATCTCCTTAAGGCCTCTTTTTGCGGCCTCATAAGTTGCAAAATGCACTGCTGTAAATGGGGCGTTCATCACAATTGTAGTCCTATAAGATGCATAAAAAGCCCCTAATCCCTCCTCGCTCAAAACCCTCTTCACACAATCCCAAACACCCTTGTAACCACTGTTACTCAATTGCAATCTCTGCTTCACCATATCCATGGGTGTAAACACAGCATCGCTCGCAACAGTAGCACAAACACCAGAAATCGCATGGGCAGTGGAGTTTTTGGGATCCCCATGAGAAAAATACTTCTTACAAACCTCATAAAAGGAAAAATACACGGCGTGTGCTGGCCCAGCACCAAGACCCATGGCGCCTATCCCTCGATATAGTGCAGATGGACCCTCAGACTTCAAAATCGATTGGAGGGCTTGGCGAACGCTGACGGACTTAATGGGGCATGACCCAAGAGCTTGCATATGGGTCTTCACGGTGTCGACGGGGAACATTGCCACGTGCTCGACGACGCCGGCAATGGAGCCAGCGATCATGAACTGCCAAAAATGGAGCCCATCGTGAGGTGACTCGACGAGCTCCGGATGGAAATCTGGCGGCTGCGGAACCGGCCGAAAATCAGGGTTTTGGAATTCGGCCGTTACGTCCGTGGCCATGAATAGGCTTAGGATTGTAGGCAGAAAAGGAGAAAAATTGGGCTCCTATTCTGCCCCCAAATCCAAAATCGTGACTGGTAAACTGATCCTTTCAGGCTGAATTCTTGTAAATCTTTGATGTTAAAGATTAGGTGCAGGTTTGGGAGGATTTTGAATGCGAGATTCTTGCACTATAAACAGTTATCGCATAAGAGGGAAGCTTAATCGCAGTCCAAAGAATAGGAAGAGCAGCAAACACGGATTAAAGGATGCTCTCCTTGCCTTCCTCGAGCATTGAACCTGCAGAAGCCAAATAGGAGACGGTGTTGAATGCGGTTTTGGATTTGGTTTTACGACCTTGTCGTTTTCCGTTGCACCGAAAAAAAAAAATCAACTTTAGGGTTCCAAAAAATTTGGGGAATGGGTTTTACCTGATCTCTACTGCGATTGTTTGCCGTTTGGTATATATTTAAGGGAAAAATAACACAAAAAGAGGATAGAAATTGCAATATTCTAATTTAGATGCCTAAGATGTCAAAATTTTAAGAGAGGAGGTGGTGCCTGATCTAATATTTTATAAATATAATTAAATAACTAAAATGCCTTTATATCAATTTTTTTATAAAAAAAACTATTAAACTTGTCATTATCAATGTATTTGAGTTATTCAACATTTATTATTGTCAATTTACAACTTATTAATAAATATCTTATTATTGTTAATATATTTTTTATCATTTGCTGTTTAATGCTTGTGATTATCAATTCACAACTTATTAATAAACTTTTTAATACGAAGATATTTTTGTCATTTAACTACATTTGCAAAATATCAGATCAGACAGAACTACCTCTTATGAAATTTTGACTTCTTAGGTGCTAGAATTGCTTGCAATTTTTAACTTCTTTTTAGGTTATTTTCTCTATATTTAATAGTTTTAAATTTCATGTTCCTATCTTTCAAGGGGTGTTAAAATTAAAAACTTTCAGAACTAAATTAGTCTTAAATGGGAAAATTGGGATAAACCTTCCCTGTTAGAAATTTTGTAGTACACCAAGAAGAACTCCCCCCCCCCCCCCCGGGGAGGTTAATGGTGCCCTTATGTTTCGTCAATTTGCTCTCGGGGGGTAAAAGTCAATCGGCTTTTGTCGATAGCTCGGGTGAGTGTGACTAAGCTTCCAGTTACGTCATATTCTATCCTATCCTAATCTTATAAAAATTAACACTCAACTGATCTTTTGATACAAGTAAGTGTAACACGATTATTTTCAGGATAAACAAAAATCGCCTCCTATCAGCACGGTTTTTTTCATTTATATAATCTAAATAAAAATTATGTTTTTTCATTTCAACGTGAGTAGTTGCTTATCCTTTTCCGTGTTGCCGGAAGAAGTCAACAATACTATAATATAAAAATTATGTTTCTTCCAAAAACACATAGTCCACGAGGCATTGGCAGGTTGAAGAAAAGTCAACAATAATTTATCGAATAATAATAAATATCAAAAAATACTTCTTTTTTTTTGGGTTAGGGGGGGAGGGAAGTTATTGAAGTGGATGTGGTGAGCCCATCACTATCAGAGAGCCACTGTTTTTTATTTATTTATTGTGGAATAATGCACTTGTCCAGAAGCAAACTACAAATTGCGGACTCTACGGCCCAAAAAATAAAAAGGAAATTAGGACTTGTAAATTATGACGCGCCTCACAGTATTTACAGCCTTCTTCTTTTAGGTTTGTGTGGGCCGAAGGCCACCCGGAACCCAAAAACGGTCTTGCTCTCAGACGGCATTTCTGAATACGAGGGCCTCTTTCGTGTATAAAATAAACTAACCTGGATATTTAAAAAATACTTCTCGTTTTAATATAAGAACTAGTTGAATAATTTGATTAAATTAAAAAAATTAGTTATTTATGATAAGTAGGTGTTGTTTTTCCAAAAATATCATTGTTAATCAAGCACATTAGTTAGAACTATCACTATTACAAGAACTATTTTTAAAAAAAATGAATAAATATGAAGAATGAAGTGAATTAGAGTCTTAATTTAAAATCAAAATAAAAGTTAAACTAACTTTTATAATAAGAATTAGAGCTAGTAAAATACGGACCGCTTAACTATAATGACTCCACAAGTACTACAATTCTTTCTGTATCCGAAATATGCCGTTTTAATTCATATACATCGTAGTCTGGTTTTCCTATGGACCAAACTTCTATAAACGGTCTGCACATCCAAGAAAAAAACTTTTATGGGTCTTTTTTCACAAGTTTTGAACTACGCAGCGACTCATGTTTCCGCTGCCCAGTTTTAAGACCTCGTTTTGAAATTTTATAATTAGAACTAAGAGTAATATTTACTTTGGATCTCTTTACAATTTTAAACCGAACCTGTTTTGCTCTGGGCAAATCCCTTAGAGGGCGTTGATATATATATATATATATATATATATATATCAGGGTTTATATTTCTTTAACCACAAAAAAAGGGAACTTTCATGATTTACATGATCCATTCTTTTCTATTCTTATATTGTACATGTCAATACTATTACAAAGTACTTATTTGGTCCTATTTACAAGACAAAGAGAAAAAATATTTTTTTGTTTTATTTATAGAGTACTTAGAGAAATTTTTTGTATAGATATATGTGATGAGCATAAGCCTAAAAGGAGAGCTCAATCCCAAAAGACTAGCCTATTAGGAGGGAGAGTCCCTTGAACTTATAAACCCCACAACACTTGTGAGATTCCCCAATATGGGATTCATAACAGAGCACCCCTCTCGAGAGCCGACGTCCCCGGCGGCTCCACTCTACGACACTTCACTTGGTCTTCTTACCGGTCAGAACCCTCCGCAGATAGCCCTTTCCGGTTGGCCAACTCTCAATGAAAGCACCAATGTGATGAGCATAAGCCCAAGGGGAGAACCCAATTCCAAAAGACTAGCCTATTAGGAAGGAGAGTCCCTTAAACTTATAAACCCCAACAATACCTGTGAGATTTCCCAATGTGGGACTCATAACAGAGCACCCCTCTCGAGAGCCGACGTCCCCGGCGGCTCCACTCTACGGCACTTCACTCGGTTTTCTTACCGGTCAGAACCCTCCGCAAGTAGCCCTTTCCGGTTGGCCAACTCTCAATGAAAACACCAATGTGATGAGCATAAGCCCAAAGGGAGAGCCCAATCCCAAAAGACTAGCCTATTAGGAGGGAGAGCCCCTTAAACTTATAAACCCCAACAATACCTATGAGATTCCCCAATGTGGGATTCATAACAGAGCACCCCTCTCGAGAGCCGACGTCCCCGGCGGCTCCACTCTACGACACTTCACTTGGTCTTCTTACCGGTCAGAACCCTCCGCAGATAGCCCTTTCCGGTTGGCCAACTCTCAATGAAAGCACCAATGTGATGAGCATAAGCCTAAAGGGAGAGTCCAATCCCAAAAGACTAGCCTATTAGGAGGGAAAGCCCTTTGAACTTATAAACCCCACAACACTTGTGAGATTCCCTAATATGGGACTCATAACAATATACTATTTTACCTTTCATTTATTGGTGTGTTGACTTTATTTACATAAAGTATGATGTATATTAAATAGGGATAAAGTTAAAAAGTTATTAAATTTTAAATGAGAGTTAATGAAGTTTGAGGTTTCCCTTGATCTCCGCAAAACATGCTGGAAATAACTTATAAATAGGATTAGAAAAGAAGTATACCGGGTTACAAATAAACATAAAATTCAAGCGGGAATGCATGTAACATCGCTCAGCCTCATTCTTTCTCTACTTCGATAAGCTGACATAAATCTTTTTCTGAAAGATGTTATGGGATCAATGGCTTCAATGATCAGGCTTTTTTAAGGTTGCTGCGTCAAAACCCAGATTTCCCTGCCTGGAAACTTTCAGGCCTCTTCAGACCTAACCGACAGAGACGCTTTTCACCGAGTTTGCACAACCCCCACAATTTTTTCCACCATTCAAAATCCTGTGTGTGTGAGACAAAAGTACACTACTATTTATGCTTTAAAACATGATATTTAGAAACAGGGACAAGAGCACGAATTAAGGTTCCACTATGAAGAAAGTGAAAATACCTAAAACATGTCTTCCCACGTCAACAAACGAGTACACAACCAGCACAAAACTGCGATATATCCCATCAAATTTATTGGAACCACTCCTGCCAAACAAGTCTGCCACTTTTCACCGACCGTTCGCATGATATGCTTCTTTTTTCCTTTCACAAAGCAAAACAATAAATGTAAACATCACGTCAAATAAGTCATGAGGCAAAGCAAATAGATTAATAATAGTGCACAGACCAATAAACCAGTATCGATCAATTCCTCCTCCTGATATAAAGTTGAGTTCTGCATAGACCATGCATTTGTAGAAAGTCGTCAGAACTACGAGAGAGAGCCTTTCGGAGGATTCCGGTGTTACCGAGGCCGTACGTTGATGAGTTCGATAAATTTGGTTCAAGTCCTGATTCATCAGCCTTTGCCTCAGACCCATCTCAATCTCTGATCAACAATATTTGCGTCAGATCGAATGTAAGCCATTTGTATGACCAAGTCATCACCGGATTCAAATGGCAACATTATTTGATGTGACATATATAGTAACGTACGAAAGTAAATTGGTTTCAATAATGATAACTTTTGACGACGAAAAGTTCGGTTTGATTTCACCAAGATGTATATACTTAAAGCGGTCTATAGAACATTATTAGCAAGGTACGGATATTGATTATATATATGTATGGTGCAAAACATGGTAACTCGTAAAAATGTTTGGGACCACACACACACATGCCCCCGTCTCAAATCAATTATACAGCTTACCTACCCGTAGGGTCCCCAATAATGCAGTACTGCATATATATCATTTCAATAACCTAGTGATGCACATGCTAATTAATTCAACAACACATTTCATTTATTTAGATTTGAATGGCTCTAACCAGGCGATGAGATAAGAAGCGTGTGTTGTTATTATGGAGTTTTGAGACGACAGGCAGATGAGGAAGAAAGAGTCGCGTACGCATTATTGAAGATTTTCAGGTACCACAAAATAAGAAGAGGTAAACAGGTTCAGACAAAGGGGAAAGTGGACATAGCTACGAACGATCGAGCAGCCCTCGAAACTGCCACAGAACATATGGTGATGGCACAAAAAATAGGAGAGCCTTCTCAAATCAAGAGGGTTTGCTTTTTGTTGTCACAACGCTTTTGTTTCCCAAACAGGGAATTATAATGAAGCCAAATAATATGTATAAACGGCTCCCGTCTATATACTAGGCGCCTAGCTCTCCTCCTCCCCCTCCTTCTTGGTATCAATTATCA